CCGGAGCTGGGCTCGCATCCCGCCCTGGTGCCGCTGCTGGGGCCGGTGCCGCTCATCCCCGAGGACGCGGAGAGCGAGGAGGAGAAGGCGGAGGGCAGGCGCGCCGGGGAGGCCGCGGCGCTGAGGACCTCCACGCCGGCCGCGTGCAGGCCGGAGCACCTGAGCAGCTTCACGAAGGACTTCCTGAAGACCATCTGCTACACGCCGTCGTCGTCGCGCAGCTCCAACCTGACGCGCAGCTCCAGCAGCGACAGCATCCACAGCGTGCGGGGCAAGCCCGGCCTGGTGAAGCAGCGCACGCAGGAGATCGAGACACGCCTGCGCCTCGCCGGCCTCACCGTCTCCTCGCCCCTCAAGAGGTCCAACTCCCTGGCCAAGCTGGGCTGCCTCGACCTGTCCTCCGAGGACTTGTCGAGCGACGTGGACGTGTCAACCATCACGGACTCCAAGGAGGCCGCGGCCAGCGGGTCGTCCGTGCTGTGCGAGCCGCCGGGCGCTCCGCGCAGCGCCGACCTCAGCTGCGCGCTGCTGGCCAAGGCGGCCGTGGGGAACCTGGAGAACGTGCTCTGGATGGGCAAGAGTTGATGCTGCCCTCGGGGGGAGGGTGGCTCGGGCGTTTTTCTTTTTTTTTACGGCATTTCTTCATTGCACCGGTGCAGTTTTGTGGTCTGACTGGCAGGGTTCATCTGATGCCACCTCTTCCTTCCCTCTTTGTATCCTGAGCAGGGAGGAAAAGAAACGTGATGGATCGTAACGGAGGGCACAAGGGAAAATAAAGTGTGTTGCATGGCTTAGAAGAGGACTGTGTGTGAGCTGCGTGTTGTCCCGCAGGATGCTACTCCTAGTACTGTTTGCCAAGCGTAATAATGTGGTTTTGTGCGTGTGCATATATAGATGGATATCTGTTTATCTATCTATAGAAATGCTGAAATACTGAAACTCTCCGCAAAATAATTAGTCATGATCTTTTTTTGATACTTCTTTTTTTTTTACAAAGCAAACACAAGTCTCTAGTTTAAAACAGGCACTTGTGGAGAAATCCTTAAAATGGTGACATGAACACTACCTCTGTTTTGCCGACTCTTTGTTTTCTTTCCGAAGGGTTTTCCCATCATACTTGCCGTTTTTGGAAGGTGTTGCCTTCCCGTTCACTTGAAGACTGAAGGTGTATGGAGACGTGGGCTGTTCCGAGCTCGCTCTGAAGCCGCGTGCAGGACGTGGAGCCGTGTCCACGTTGAGCGCGTGCTCTGCCGGCCCTCGTCCGTCTTTGCGGTGTAACCGGCTGCGCTGTCGCAGCCTCGTTGGT